TATGAAAAATATGGTTTTAGTGAAAAGTGGCAGCAGTGGATTTTGGGTTGTTTGTCTTCAGCTCAATTTTCAATTCTTTATAAAGGGAGCTCGATGGGATTTTTTAAGGCCACCCGAGGACTACGTCAAGGGGATCCTCTCTCCGTTTTCCCTTTTACTATATATGCGGAATACTTCAGTTTGATGCTTACCAATGTAATGAGGAATTGTCAGTTTGCCGGCTTTCAAATGCCCTAAGGGGGACCGTGTGTTTCACACTTATAATATGCTGATGATACCCTTCGTTTTTGTGAAGCACAGCAGGTGCATGCTGCAAATATTGCTATTTTTTTAAAGTGTTGTGAAGTTGCATTGGGTTTAAAGGTTAATTTTGAAAAAATTGGTATGGTGGATGCAAATTGCCCTGATGCGAATATTTCCTCTTTTGCACAAGAGTTTGGTTGTAAGATTGAATTTTTCCCTATTATATACTTGGGTATGCCAATTTCAGATGGTCATCTCCCTTTTGCAATTTAGGATAAAATTTTGCAAGATATCCAAGTTAAGCTCTATTTGTGGAAATTTAAGTATTTATCTTTTGGAGGGAGGATTACGCCCATTAAAGCTTATATGTCAAACTTGCCTATTTATCAAATGTCTATTATACAAATCCCTGCTTCGATAGCAAAGAAAATAGAAACTATGGTGATGAACTTTTTGTGGGGGTCCTTTGTGGAGAAGAAGAAGTTCCATCTCCTTCACTGGGATAGAGTGTGTACGCCTAAAAAGGAAGGAGGGCTTGGGATTAGGAAAATCAAATGGGTTAATCAAGCTATGCTCTGTAAATGGTGGTGGAGATGTCTTACTCTTAAATACCACCTTTAGTACGAAGTGATTGCTTCAAAGTATAGAATGGATAGGTGTGGTATGTAGGGGGGGGTATAGGAATCGAGTAAGGGGCATGTCAGCCAGCTGGAGAGTTATTCATTCGTGTAAAGGCTTTATACATCTTGATATTCGGTGGTGTGTAGGTAATGACTGCAATATCTCCTTTTGGCATTATAAATGGTTGGGAGACTGCCCATTGAAATTAAGTTTTCTTTGATTTATCATTTGATGGCTAATCGAAAAGCCACTATTGTTGAGTTTTGAGTTTTTTGTTCGCAGGGGTAGGAATGTTAACTAGAATATTACTCTACCTTATAATAGGGTTTCTTATTTGGTTTTCTCTCAGTTTGCTGATCTTCATAGACTATTGAAGGATGTTTATATCCCACACAATGCTTCTGATGAGGTAGTTTGGGAGATCGACAAAAATGAGATTTATTCAGCTAAATCCATATATCATTTACTCTACCATGATAGGGTGCGATGGTCTATGCCTGAAATAGCTATCTTGTGGAAATGATCCCTACCTCTCAAAGTGCAAGGTTTTCTTTGGTTGGTGGTTCAAAACAGAATTCTCACGGATTATAATCTGATTAAGAGAGGGAAAATTTTACCGAATATATGTCTCATGTGCAAGGAAGACGAAAAGACTGGCGATCATCTCTTTCTCCATTGTCTGTTTGGCAGTCGCATTTGGAAGTGGTTTTTTTACAAGCTTGAGGCTGCATTGGTAATGCCACCACCGGTGATTGGGGTTCTTCATAATTTTTCAGTTACTTTATCAAGGATTGGGAGAGTTGTATGGCAAATCTCTAGAAGTGTCTTTCTGTAGGAGATCTGGAGAGAGAAAAATAGAAAAACGTTTGAAGGCATCTCTTTACCTGTTGGAAAAGTTTTGAAGAAAATCTTACATTCCATCTGATTGTACCTCTCTGTTACGAGTTGTGGACAGAATAATTCTGAAATAAATGTAAGAAGTAATCTAATTAACCTTTTCCATTGGTTTTCTAAGAATGTAGGCCCAAAGACAGATAGATGGTCCCACCTTTGGGGGTTTATAAGCTCAACTTTGATAGTAACTCATTGGTCTTGCTGATTTTAGAGGGGTTGTTCGGGATCGAATTAGTAATGTGATCTTCTCCTATGCATGGCCACTTAGGGTACGGACTGCGAATTATGCAGAGATCTTTGTCTTCTCTTTGGCCTTCGTCCCTTTGTGGAGAAGAATTTAGGGACTTCTTACATTATCGAAGAGGATTCTCTCAATATTATGAAATGATGCAAAGCGGATCAAAAACTTCCTTGAGAGTTGAAATCTTTGTTGTTTCAGACTTTGGATCTCGCCTCTTCCTTTTCTGCCGCTTTTGTTCATGTGTTTAAGGAAGCTAATGTGCTAGCTGATTCCCTCACCAAAAGAAGTTCTACCCTCTCTGAAGCTGTTATTTTGGATTCTGTAATCTCGTTCTAGATTAATAATGAACTTTCTCTCAAAAGATTTTCTTTTTTTTTTATTAATAGTAGGAATCTTTATTAATAAATGGAAAAACTTACAGGTAAACTAGGTTTCAATTACGTTGAGACCACCCCAACCTTATAAATTACATTGAAACCACCCCAACCTTATGGTCCTTATCTTCATAATTGCCCATCTAATCAGCATTTCCAACATCTCCAATGTCGAACGGGTGGAAAATTCAACCTAATATAAAAAACAAAAAACGCTTGTCCAGTACTCAAAAATCGCTTGTCCAATACTACCAATGACAACCGATACCGATCAGCTTCCTAAGCTGTCTAGGATTAGAAAAATTAAACCTAATATAAATAGTTATTGTTATTTATTTTTTTATTATTTAAATTTTTCATTATTTTATTTATACTTTGTATTTGAATGTATTTTTCAATAGATTTTTTTTTTCTTTTATTTGATCTTTTCGATTTCTAATTTTCTATTTCTAAATTTCTATCATATTTTTCTTCTATTGTAGGCTTCTAGTCCACCATTCCGTCATTCTATATATATAATTTTATATTCTAATTCTGAAATTTAAAAAATAAAAATAAACAAATTGGAATGAAAATTTGAATTACATATTTTTATCTGCTAAATATTTCTATTATGCTAATATTTCTCAAGAAATTTTATTAAAAATTAAAATATATTCATATACAAATAAAAATAAATAAAATTAATTACATTACACAACAAAACAATAAAAAAATTAGTAAAAATTTAAATACTAGCAATTACTTATAATAAATCCAATATATCTAATACAAGAAATATCGAACAGTAGAACTATTCGGCGTTTCTAGCGTTTCAAATATTTTCTACCATTCGGCATGTCAAATATTAGACAGGCCTCGAGTAAGAGAAACAATTTTTTTGAGCTATCTGATATTTAAAACACCACAATTTTTTTGAGCTATCTGATATTAAAAACACCAGACAATGTAGATGTTCAGTGTTGGTAGTATTAGACCGGCTATTAAACCGACCCCAACTAATAGCGATGGAGCTCACCAATCCAAAATGCCAGGCAATTTCCTTTTTTTTTTTTTTTTTTATTTTTTAAAGTAAAAAAAAAAAGAAAAAAAAAAAAAAAAAGAACCACCTGTTGGGAGCAGTTTCTACCATTCTCTAATAAAAGGGTTGAAAATACTGTCATACGCAATTTTTCCTCTATAGAAATCTCTCAATAACTAGAGAAATAACTTAAACTTCAATGTGCCCTTTGGTTGATCTATGTAGGCAACGAAGGAATTCATTAAACTGCCGTGCTCTCGGATTGTATCTTCACAGGAAAAGTGTTTGCCGACTCACACTATTCTTGCGCCGTCTTCCAACAAAATATATCTCAAACGTTAGCATTTTCCATCCAAAATTTAAGAGTTCAATAATCTCTCTAAATTTGGAAAAAAAAATTTCTAAAACACATAAATATTATTTTTAAATTCCTTTTTTTCCACCGTTTATTTTAGAGTGATATATGCATTATTTTAGAGTGATATATGCATGAACCGTAAAATTTTAAATAAAATACGAAATGCTCTACTTATTAGCAGAAATCACAAAGCAAATCGGTCAACCGACCTATTTTTTTATGTTTTTTCTAAAATTTCACCACAATCAACCTGAATTTTGATTTTTTTTTATTTTATTGTTTTATTTATCCTCGATAGTAGGGCAGCCTATTAAAGTAAAAAAGGGCACTGCCTTGCTAATAAAAAACTAAAAACAAAAAAAAATCAAAATTTGACCGGAGGGACAATTTTTTTTAAAAAAAAAAAATCAAAATTCCACCTGACCTGAGAGACAATTTTGAAAAAAGAAAGGTTGACGGACGACGGCAGAGCATTCTATATTTTACCTAAAATTCTAGGGCTCTCAGGTAAATCACTCCATTTTAACCAATATTGTTTTGACATCCTAGAGATGGACATGAAATTTTTTAAAAATTTATTTTAGAGATGGATGTGAGATAGACAAGGGAGTGCACGATAATAGGCTAATCGAATGACTCACCGAAACGGTGTCCCTCTTCATATGCATCGACTAATCAATTAAGTCTATATATTGTGGATTCCTTAAGGTTGGAACCTTAAACAATCCAATTAAGGCGCCCCTCCAAATTTTATCAAAAATGTAATTTTGATATAAAAAAATCTTACGATAATTTGAGAATCTATTTCATATCTAATTACAAATTTTAAACTCTAAAACTGGTTCAAATCAAGTAGATCTAAAATCACATCAAGATCTTAAAAACTGTAGATCTAAAATCACATCAAGATCTTAAAAATTGACAGTCCAAAAGATGCACTATTTTGCGGACTCAAAATATCTTTTTCGTTTCATATTCATACATCTCGATGTCAATATGATTAATCAGAGGATTTTCCAACATCCAAATAACGTTTTATGACGGATTTTTGAGGTGCACCTTTAATTCTACGATTGCAACCTAAGATAAACTTTTTCCCATTTATATTGCTTCCCTCAACACATTAAAAGCATGGTATTAAATGAGATAAGAGGACTGGAAAATGAGGAAAAAGGCAGGGAGTATTCCTCACTCTTTTATCACTGTAACTTCAGATTCAAACAACTTACTAAATCTTTCCGTTCACTACAGACACACACGATGATGTATGTGCTCCTTATTTATTCACAAACAACACCCCACTGCGTCCTCTACGCCATGGAGACTGCAACCAAAGAACACCAAAATTCAACACAACAAATCAGAAAACCCTAATAGGAGGGATTTATTCATCAGAGAGAATTTTGCTCATTTTAAAGATAAAGAGTGATTTATTCATGAGAGAGGTGTCGAGTGCTTACATGAACTGATGGAGCAGCGCTGCTGAGAGATGCCACAGATTTGTGGGAGTTGCTCGGCGCGTTCAATCATCTGCTGCTGCTCTCCCTGCCCCGCTTCGGACATGAGACTCCTAGCCATCTGCCTTATCTGCTCGCACCTGCACTCCTCCCTCATGTTCTCCAATTGCTCACAGCACCTTCGCGGAGCATCCCTCTGGTAAGGAAAGAGAGTTAACTCAGGCCTCCCGGTCTGGATGAAGCGCCTGCATGATTCTAGGCTTTTCCTCTCCTGCCTGCACCGCTCCTTCTCTCCCTCCCCAGAATTCCCACCCTTAAACACCTCCTCCTCTGTGGTGGTGGTCACAGTCGTCCTGTAAATGGACGCCTCCGCCACCACTGCCACACACACCACCAAGGCCAGTGCTGCTGCCCACCGAAATCGCATGGCTGCCATTGGTTTCTCTCTGTGAAAGTGTTTGATAGGAAGATGGTGGTGACGAAAGGGTTGCTGCGTTGGGTATTTTTATAGTAAGAGTGAGGGTGGTGGAAATGAACAGGTTGCTTTTTGCCTCCTTCCACGTTCATCACTCCATAACTCCACCTTGAGCACTTTCATTGCGGCAGGAGACAGCTGCCATGCAATGAAGCTTTACTAATTTTATATTATTATACCGTGCTCTTGTTATCGAGTTTGGGACGTTAGGGGCAATGGACCCGACTACCCGGAACCCACGGTATACCCGACCTCAGGTCTCGTTATAGGTTCAAATTTTGAATCCGAATATTATTTGGGTTTCGGTATGAGTTTAGCCGGACCCAATCCGTACTCATAGTCGTAAGGTATATGACGGCAATCATGTATTTTTAGACGCCCGTTAAGTGTTTATATTGTCACAATATTGGTAATATTTACAGTATTATTGGTAAAAAAAGAAGCTCAGAGTCTTAAGCAATATGATGCTAAAAAAAAAAAAAGACAAAGAAAATAAAATATAAACTCATAATTATAGGGTGGCAATGAATCGGACTAGACTCAGGACCCAATAGATACAACCAGAACCAGTACGGGTCCAAATTGTAGACCCAAATACTATTCACATCCGAGTCTAGATCCAGTCGGACCTGACTCGTGCCCGACCTATTGCCTCCCCCCCCCCCCCCCCCCGGGGGATCATGCTTGAATTACATGAGTGATGATCATTAAGGACTTTGGTCCCTAGCTGATACCATTAAATCTTGTCTATTTGAAAAGGGTGTGGTTTCCATAAGGTTGCAACTTTAAACATTCGAATTAAGGCGCACCTTCAAATTTGATCATAACATATAATTTTGATGTAAAATATTTTTAGGATTATCACAAAATATATTTTTGTATTTAATTATAAAATTTTAAATTCCAAAAATGTTTAAAATCAAAAAGATCTATAAACATGTGAAAATTTTGAAAATAGACGGTCTAGATAATGTGCTGTAAGATGCACTATTTTTGAGACTCAAAATCTTTTTTTATTTCATAATCATACATCTCAATGTGAAGATGTTCAATTAGATGGTTTTTCAACATTAAAACAATATTTTCCAATAGAAATTTGAGATGCATCCGTAGTTCTACATTTTAAAGTTGAACCCTTGTATAAACTTTTTCCATTTGGAAAATAGATTATGGTGGCAGTTGGCTTACAAATAAGTTGCTAGCATCTTTTCGTCCGAACGGTCTGAGAGGTATTATCTAGGGCCGGCAACATGCAGGGTACGGGTCATGCCAGTCTAGACCTTAATCTGGCCCTAATCCATATCAGGCCAGCCCTAGGCCAGGCTAAAGATATCCTGACCTAGGCCCTACCCTGGCCATGTAAGGGCTAGGCCAAACACAATCCAATTAAATAACCAAAATAATAATTATAATAAGAAGAAAAGTTGGGCCATGCTGGGTCAGTCCTTCAAGGCCCTGGAGTAGCCCTCGAACCACAAATTTTGGCCCATGCCCTAATTTTGAAGGGCCAGGCCACCCAGCCCATTACAAGCCCAGTATTAGTTGTTAAAGAAAAAATATGGGCAAAAGAGGACTATATAGATCACACTAAGCGGAGCTTTGGCAACCGTATGACTTTCGGATTTGGTAAACGAAAATAGAGAGCTAAACAAACCCTTTGTTGGAAGAGGAGTTCCGGCCTGCCATAAGGTTTAATCAGTGTAAGAAAAATTGAACCGGAATGACAAACCAGACGTGGCCGGAAGTGGTCTACCCGGCCTAACCAGTAAACGGACCAATTCAACCATTGTAACTGGGCATATTCCGAGCTGTCCAAAAAATATTAAAAAAATACAAAAAAAAAAGCTAATAAAGTATAAAAAAATATTTAAATAATGATCAAATAAAACACATTCAAATGAAGTTGAAAATTAATGCAAAAATGGATTTTAAAGAATCGACTTGCGCCTAAGGCTATTTTTTAAACTTTTCAAAAAAGATGGGAAAATTTAAAAGTAAGTATTAATGGCCAAAATAATTTACAATCTTTGCCACAATAATAAAAAAATACATTGCAAACAAAATTCCTTAATTTTGGAGATTTTATATCATTTTTAAAAAACATTTTCAAAATACTGAGCCTTCACCAAAACTGGCCGAAACTAGAACTAGCCACTATCTACTCAGGCAGTTATCGATTAGATCGGCTGATTTTTCCATCAATGGGTTTAATATTCATCAAAGACATTTTCTACCAACTAGGTTTTGTGTGGGAGAGAATAAATAGAATTAGAGAAATTTATCATGGGTGTGCTTTGTATAAGGCAGAGGCTCTAAACAATCAAAGTAAGGTACACCTTCAAATAGTGCCGAAATATGATATTTTGATACTGAAAATCTTTGTGATGGCCTGAAAATTTATTTTCATCTCTAATTATAAAATTTAAATTTCAAAAGTAGTGTAGATCAACCAGATCAATGAACACTTGAAAATCTTGAAAATTGACGGTTCGAAAATACATTACAAGATGTACTATTTCCATTACTTCAAATCCATTTTTTTTCTCATGTGCATACATCTTGAGGTCAAGATGATCAATTTGAGAATTTTTGAGCTTCAAAACAACTTTTTTTTAATGAATTTTGGAGGTTCGCACTAAATTGATTGTTTCAAGCCTTGACCTTATACAAACATTTTCGTTTAATGTTTTCCCATTTGTTTTGAATAAATGTCAAAATGCCCATCAAAAAACACATGACTTTGACTTGGAATTGCAAAAAAATGGTAAAATGCTAAAGGCTAAATAATTGAAATGTGAGGTGTATTTTGATAAATTTCTTAATTAAAGAATTATATTGGGCATCATTTCAGAACAACTCTAAATATGTACATAAACAAATAAATTGTAAGTCAAACATTAAAGGGTACAGTTGGCATACAAATGCATCTGTAGCTATAGAGGTAAGGTGCACCTTCAAATTTTATCATGGTATATAATTTTTGATGTAAAATGTTCTTAGGATTATCTCAAACTTTATTTTTATATCTAATTACAAAATTTTAAATATAAAAAATGGTTAAAATCAAGTAGATCTATAAACATATGAAAATCTTGAAAATGGACGGTGTAGATAATATGTTGTAAAATGCACTATTTCTGAGACTAAAAATCTTTTTTATTTTTCATGGTCATCCATCTCGATGTCGAGATGATCAATCAAAGGGTTTTTCAACATTAAAACTACCTTTTCCGATGGATTTTTGAGGTGTATCCGTAGTTCTACATTATAAGGTTTCATTCTTATGTAAACTTTTTCCAACATTAAATTATTAAAAAATAAACAATAATATGGTGTATCTAAAATGTACATAATCATCCCCCAGTTAAAGGAATAACCGTTATAAAATGCATGATAAAGAAAGAAGTGAATTGTGGAGAGAAGGTGTGGAGCTTGAGAGCCCAAGGATATAATTTGCATAGCTTTACTAAGCCTTTTGGAGTTTGTCTCCATTATTTCAAAGCCAACATATTACGTTGTTTAAATATTGTCTTGATTTGCTTAATGTTATTAGTAAAGGGTGAGGTTTGTATAAAGTGTCAATGTTAAATAATCACGGTAATGTGCACCTCAAAATCTTATTAAAAAATGAATTTTCAATGTCAAAACTCTCATCATGGACTAAGAGTTTATTTTTCACCTCTATTATGAAATTAAAAACTCCAAAAATGGTGCAGATCTAGTAGATGTACAGACACTTGAAAATCTAAAAAATGGACGGTCCAGATAATGTGTTACAAGATGTACTATTGCTAAGTTTAAAATTTAATTTTTCTTTTACATCCATATATATCGAGGTCAAGATCAACTGGAGAATTTTCAAGTCACGAAACAATTTTCTTCGATAGGTTTTTATAGTGCACCTGTACAGGAAAATCATTCCCAACGATCGATTGCTGACAGGCAATCTTTTCTTTATGCGAGGAAATCTCGAGACCAAAATCCGCCGTCAAGACGTCATTTTTTTCACTGACACGAAACTAAAAATGAGGTGGAGCTACACGATCACCAGCTACCAGCGTCTTGGTCCCACTAAAATGTTCTCGCGAATGATCATCCAAAATCCAATCCTTCGGGACTTTCGTAACTGCATCCGAACTTTTCGCTTCTATATATATCTTCATGCCGTCATTCCCTCCTTTGATAAATTTTTGGGAGTTACTAATTGAATTAGAAAAACCCTCTGTGAAATCCAGAAACTTGCCCACAAGAATCCACCTTTTGAAATTTTGAGAGTTACATAATTTTGAATTTCCAATTTCCAATTTCCAATTTCCCAAAACGCCAGTGAAAATGACTCTTCGAATGAAACCTCCTCGGAAAAATGGCTGGCATCTTAATTTTTTCCCGCAACTCCCTAGCGTTCAAGAGATGATCACCATAAGCCCTACCAGAACTCTTCATCCCCTTTGACCTAGACTCACAAAAAACCTGAATATTGAAAAAAGCATCTCCAATGGCGAGGGAAATAAACTCTGAAAAATGAGAGCCTTAAGCTCGAATCATTTTAACAAGCACTCCATTACAAACAGGATTCAAAAACGAATCTCAATCCATGCCCAAATAGGAACCCAAGGTTCCCACAATCCTTTTAATGATGGCCAAGCTTCAAGCATGCAGAGGAATACCATAAAGACGAATCCAAACAATCTCTTGCTGAATAAAAGAACCATGATCAGCTGGCTTCCATAAATCCAACGAAAAGAGACTACCTCGGATTCTACAAAAACGATTTTGGAGAGCTCTACTAACCTCATCTTTGGAACGAAGTTTAAAAACAATTTTATTCTCTCCAATAACCTTAACATCGGGATGAAAAGAAAGATTACATCCCCGCCAAGCCCAGTCAGAGAGACCAAAAAGATCAGAGATAGGAGGAGAAAAGGAACCTGACGCAAAGAACTTGGGTTTAATATTAAGCT